TCCAAAACTTTTCCAGGGCCTGGAATTAGCATTTTTAATTTCCATGACTTTTCCAGGTTTTCAATGACCGTAAGAACCCTGTAAGATAGTTAACTAGGACCAACCCAACGTTGGATACCTAGAATATATCTCATGTTTTTAATCTTCAAAGTTATTAAATACTTCCCAAGAGGCGGATCTGTGTTTCCCTTCGGGGACTGACCTGTCGCTGAGAGTCCCTCCCCGGCGGCTGGTCCTTCGGGGGAAGTCGGAGTCTTCCTGCGTTCCTGCGCTGCGGCGGGGATGTCCAACATCAGCTTCTTCGGGTGTTCTGCACGCTTAGTCTGCAACAAACAGAACACTCTATCAACAATGTGTCCACGAACTCTTACACAAAGATTATAATGAGCTACAGATAACCCACCTCCTCTTCCTTCTCCCCTTCTTCATCTTCATCAGCTATTTCAGTCACATCAGTGGAGGCTATTTTATCAGCTGCATCCAGAGCAGCGATTAATCCCTGATCTGCTCCCGCTGCCTTCTGACCCGGGATGGGAGGAAAACCTGAGAGATAAGAGATCATACTTATTACAGATTATTAAACATTAGATCTAGTCTTTTGGTCAAGTTCAAACACCTGTCGTACAGCTAACTGGCAGCTTTTAGAGTGGTTCAGTTCACAGTAACAACAGAACTGCAATGACTCCTCTGTATTTGCGGGTCCCATTGCCATTGTTGTTGTTGTTATTGTTATTATTATCATCATGCGTCACTTTCCACCTTCTTCTCCAGTAGGACTCAGTAGGACTTTCTTTTCTTTTCCTTATACATGTGATGTTTTGGTGTTGTTTTGTTTCTTTCCGTTAACCGTTAAGTTAAGTTTTTTTTGTGTTTCTCTTAGTATCCTAAGATACTGTTATGTTTGGCTGTGAAAAAGAAAAAAAAAATTATTATTATGAAGGGCAGACCATCTATTTGTATTTATTTGTTTTTTTTAGAAAGGGGCAGGTCACATAAGATTTTATTCTTCTCCCTGCTCCTTTTCGCTCAATGGTGTTTTGGTAATCATGTTTTGTGGCAATTATTGTATATTTGGTTTTGCGTACCATGAGCGGGACGAATAAAAATAAAAATGAAATGAAACTGGAGATGAAATCAATTTGACGGATCAAAATATAACTTGGAAATGACACAAAAACAAAACAACTCTCACCAGGAGGAACCGGCAGCTCCTCAAAGTTGACCGCTTTCCCTGCTTTGTGAGATCTGATGGCACTCTGGTATTGCTGCGGGAAGAGAGAGAGAGAAAAGCTTTGTTACCGCAAATTGCTACAAGTATAGAAGGGCCATTATTGCTTTGACGTCCATTTCCTGGTATTAAATGTCTTCACGGCTTTTCTTAAATCAAACCCACGATTATCTTTGTATGTCGTTATGATACTTCGTAGTAAACGTTTAGCATGTAAGAGGCTAAAGGTGTAAAGGTAGCTACAGAGATCAGCAGTGTCTCCTCGTACCTTGGCGATGCGGTCGTGCATTCGGGCCTTGCGGTCGTCTCCGGCTGCTTTGGCCTGATTGGACGCCTCTGAGTACTTGGCTCGTCTCTGCTCTAAAGCCTCCAGCACGTCTTTGGGAGCCGATGGGGGTGCAGCGGCTGAGGAGCAACAACAGAGAAGAAACTGTTTCTCAAGATGTGTTTCTGTTGGTTTTAAGAATTGAACACTAAAGCCATGGTTTAAGGTTTAAGGTGAATGCTCACTGACTCACAACCGCAATGTTAACGTGCCACCATCTTAGCTTAGCATATTAGCATTCAACCAAGATTCAAAGCTTTTATTGTCATATAAGCTACAGTGTACAGATGGCAATGAAAATCTTCTGACCTGAGCTCCTCCAACAATCCAACATATATAATAAAATACAAAATAAAAAGTAGTGCAACAAGTCTATATACATGTAAATAGAATATGATAATACAAGAACAGAATATGAAATTAAATAATGTAAATTAAGATTAAATTAAATACGTTTTTTCCATTTGCCAAGTAGCAGAGAACACAAAGTGCAGCTGCAGGCTGATGCTTCACAAAGAAGTGCATTTTCTCCTATTTCGTTAAACATCAGGCGAGGGCTGCTCAATTAATCGTATTTTAATCGCAATTACGATTTTGGCTTGCAACGATTACGAAAACAACATAATCGAAATAAAACGATTTTTATTTTTTATTATTTTTTGTATTGGTTTTCAGTTGAATTATAAAGTTCAGGCTAATCAACTGTTCAAAACATACGGTTCAACATTTTTTTCTTCAATAAATGGATGTTTTCAAAGTAAATGGATAATCGTTTTTAATAATCGTGATATCAATTATTGACCCAAATAATCGAGCAGCCCTACATCAAGCTCACATTTACTGGTTCATATGAAATGTTGTTAAGAGAAACAAGGGATGTTTGTAAATGGAGATGCATTACTGGTTTTCCCACCTGGAGCGGATGTCACTGGTTGGGCGACTTCTATGTTTTGCCCCGAGGAAGATTTCTTGACGGGAGCAGACACCCCCCCTGCGGCTGAAACACAAACACTGAAGATGAATATCAACACTCAGAAGCACACACTGCAGGCTTCTGTTTACAATATTGTTCTTAATAAAAACAAGTCTAGCAAATATTGTATTTACTGATCTATATTTCCTTCCTGGAAGATCCTTGTCACTTCTTTTGGATTTCAAGAACTAGGTATTCTCGTGCCTTTTTCCTTTAGAATGATATACCACGGTCTGTGTTTACCCTTAGATGCATAAGTGGGTCTTTTTGACCCGGTGAGGTGGTTTTCTTGAAGTATCTTTGTAATTACATTTTTTTATCATTTCATATTCCAGCTATTCCTCATGTC